CTCCGACCCACCCACCCCCACCTACACACACACACACGCGCGCACACACATACACACACACACACACACACACACACACACACACACACACACACAAACGTGAGCGTGTTAAGATAGATAGATAGATAGATAGATAGATAGATAGATAGATAGATAGATAGATAGATAGATAGATAGATAGATAGATAGATAGATAGATAGGAGGGGGTGATTTGGAAGGAGGAGGGCGGGGAAGAGGAACAGTACAGAGAGAGAACAAAACCAGAGAGAGAGAGAGAGAGAGAGAGAGGGGGGGGGGAGGGGGGAATGGGGGGGGGAGGGAGAGTGAAAACAAGAGTGAATGCGAGAGAGAGAGAGGTGAGAGCAAACAGACAGACGGACATACAATGTCAAATCAGAATGAGACAGACAGACAGACAGAACATTAACCTAGCTGTCGTTCCTCGTTCAGCATCAAGCAGCAGAGTTCGTTTCCTCATCAAGACCAGGTTACGAGTCATGTGTTATTTTTGTCACATCACTAATCACAACCAATCCCCGGTATACATGTATTCTATTTTAGATTTTGTACTCTTAAGAAATACAGACATCAAATTCCATGGATTCTTGGTTAGCTCAGTTGGTATCATACTGAACTGCGGAGCGGAGGGTTAGAATCCCACACTGAAAGTTCTTGAACTCCGGTAGTTTTGTGGAGTTGTCAAGGCTCTCTACCCATAATTTGGCTCCGTCCTACCCGAGACGAACATTGAAACAGACTAGTGTTGATAGGGACGTTAAACACATACACTATAATCAATATACTATGTATTCCACTCCTGGGAAAGAATGGATAATTGGTCAGTAGTCAGTGAGTGCACTCTTTTTTAAATTGCAGAACTAATCTTTCATTTCTACACAATAATAACATGATCCACCAATATTACCACTACTACTACTACTACTACTACTACTACTACTACTACTACTACTACTACTACTGCTACTACTACTACTACTACTGCTGCTACTACTGCTGCTGCTGCTGCTGCTGTTGTTGTTGTGTGTGTGTGTGTGGTAGACTATCCGTTCGAAATGGTTGGAGCCCCGAAGAGCGTGCTCTTCGCCAGGGCCACCGCCTCTCTTGGGTAGCGGGTGAGGCAGTCTAACCTCCCTGAATCCTCCCCAAAGAGATGCCACCGCCGGACCTCCATGGCGGGGCATCTCTGTAGCCAGTGCTCTAAATTTTGGGGCTCCTCGCTGCACAATGGACAGATTGGGCCCTATGTTTTGTCTTTTCTATTTTTGTAGGCCCGCCGCTCAGACAAGTGACCGGTCCTGATTTTGACCAGTAGCGACTGGTCACGGTGGGACTTAATTTGAACCTCCCGATTAAAAAGAAATGCCCTGTATATTTCCTTTGTCCAGGTTTGGGATATCGGAAGGTCTTTTGTGATCAGTTTTATCTGGGCGCACGCACTTTCATACGCAATTTGTGAGGCAGTGAAGTGGAATCAGGCTCTCGTCAAAACAATCAAAATGAAGAAACTTACATTTTTCCGCCGGTTTTGTGAATTTTTATCAAATTTTTGTTTTTTGGCTTAACACCTTTCATGCCCTTTAAAAAACTAATTTCTGTGTGGATTTTTCTGCAAACGTTAATTAAAGGTACAAAAAAATGTAAATTTTCAGTTACCATGGAATCTTAAGCTAAGGAAATAACTAATCTTTGACGGCCATTTTCTTACTAATTTTATCTCTGGAAATAGGTGACCCCCACCTCCTTCTTTCGCAAATATCTCGACTTGTATTCAAGATAAACTGACATTTTTTTATACAAATAAAGACAAGTGAACAAGCTTTAGGATGATACCAATAACTCTACATGCCCCAAAATTGACGAGAGCCTGATGCCACCATGCTGCCTCACATTTGGCGGCCAGGGGCCCGGGAGCGCTGCTGCCCTTTTGGCATTACAGTCAGCGAGATCGTTACCCAAGGATCTCGCAGTGACCAGGGATCCACTGAATTGTGAATTGAGGTGTTGTATTACTTATGCGTAGTCTCATTTGGTCGAGGGATGGTGATGTTCCCACTAGTGCCTTGCCTAGCGATTGACTGTCAATGAAGATAGCGACCGCGTTGAATGCATCACACTGTTTGTCGATCCAGTCAATGGCCATTTCCAAGGCTCTCCTCTGTTCTTGGAAAGAGCACGTGAATAGTGCGCCTTTCTCCCTCAGTGTCCCGACAACGTTGTAGTAGTAGTAGTAGTAGTAGTAGTAGTAGTAGTAGTAGTAGTAGTAGTAGTAGCAACAGCAGCAGCAGCAGCAGCAATTGTAGTTGTTGTAGTTGTTGTTGTTGTCGTTGTTGCTGGAGTAGTAGTAGGTATTGTTGTTGTTGCTGCTCTTGTAGTTGTACTTGTTGTTGTTGTTGTTCTTCTTCTTGGAGATCTCCAGGTTTACAATCTTCTCTGATCTTCTCCCCTCAGAGAGCGGTGCCCTCGCCCAGTGTCTCGACCACTCGTCTGTTCGCCGCCGTCGCTCGTGAGTCACTCGTGAGTCTCCCGGGCAGACGAGACCCCCAGGGTTGCGCGCCACACACGGTGCTGACGACCCACAGTGCTCGGAGGAATAAACATGGCCGAACAGAACGATTTTGTCTGCTGTTGTTGGTTGGGGTTTTTTTAAAGTGTTTTTTGTTGTTGTTGTTTTTTGAGGGGGGAGGTTGTTTGTTTGGGGTTGTGGTGGGTTGTTGTTCGTGTTTTTGTTTATTTCTTTGTTTGTTCGTTTTGTTTTTGTTGGTTTGCTTGTTTGCTTGTAAATTGTCTTGAATCCATATCATAAGAACCTATTACACGATCAGTTAAAATTAGACAGCTGTCTGTCCTCTTTGGGATTAGAAAATACTTTATAATGCAATCATGGTAGAAAGAAAAGTAACTTCTTTTTGTGGTCTTTTAAATCAAGCAAGATTTCAGATTTAAGATATACACATATATATATACGTATATATATATATTATATATTATATATATATATATATTATATTATATATATATATTATATATATACGTGTATCCGAATTTTATATTATCGGGGGCCACAGCGTCCGGCCAGCCCGTCCGTGGGAAGGAGGACCAGGTTTCGAGTGGAGATCTTGTATCTTTGTGTGGTGTGTCAAATGAAGCAAGCATTTCAGGCAGTTTTCTTTCTTTTCTTTTTTTTTGTTTTTTTAGAGAGAGAGATACTACGGGTTGAATAAACAAACGGAGACAACAGACAGACAGACAAACAGACAGACAGACAGACAGACAGACAGACAGACAGACAGACAGACACACAGACAGACACACAGACAGACACACAGACACACAGACAGATATCCAGACGGCGGACGGATGTACAGACACCCGGTCAGATAGACATGTATCATATACATAAATAAGCGTTATAAACATTTCGAACTTTTTATTTCGAGAAAACATTTTGTACATGAGGTGCCGATCATTGGTTTTTCTTAGTACATTAAAAAAAGGTAAACGCATAGTGCTAAACTGTAAATGACATAAAAGTACTTACGGATAGGAAGGCAGTAAAGTAATTCCAAAAGAAAACGTTATTTACAACACAGTTCTTTAAAAAATGCGGCAGAAATAAATAATTTAACCGACAAACGTCAAACTTTACAGCCTGGAGGTTAGAGTAAATTTATGGCGTGTATCTAAATTGATTTCACCCCATTCTAAGACATCTTGAATATAATAATATGGGCATATTATATTTTGACATCACGAAATCCCGAACAAAATATAAATAGCATTTGTATATCGCATATCCCCGCTCAACAGCAGGTTCTATGCGTTTTACACTATATTATATTATTACCCCAGCAGACCATAGAACACTCCAAAACATTCTCAGCTTCCTGGGAAGCATACAGTGCAAGCTGCGGATTTCACGCGCTCAAACACTATCAAACTGACAAGATCTTTCACTGTCTATAGCTGGGTACCCATTTCAACCTGGGTGAAGTGAGGAAAATTCTTGTAAAATGCCTTTCCCAAGGACACAACGTCGGTCCCCTGACGGGATTCGAACCCACGACCTTACGGTTGCGAGTCCGAGAGCCTAACCACTAGGCCACCGAGGACGATAACTTGATGCGTGCCATGCTTTTTTTAAGTAGGTGTTTTTACACCCCCGTCGACACAATGTAGTTCACTTAGGAGGCCGGCTTCTGACCCTGTCTTTCAGGGCCAACCCCGGTTGAGAGGAATACAACATCCGAGCAAAAAGAACGAGATACTCGATTTTTTTAAATTGTCTCCCGACTCGGGAATCGAAATCGGGTCTTCAACAAGCGGCAGCAAAGCGCCAAACCACTTCACCACAGACACCGATATGTCATGCATGCCAACGAGGGAACAATTTAACGCATTTGAAGACAACAAGGGGGAATCTGGCGATGTTTCAGTTTCCTACTAACTGAAAATTTTGTTCCAGAAATTTCCTATTTCTTTCTGGAATGGAATTCTTTAAAAAATGTTGTTCTACTGTTGAAATATCCACTCAGTGGTTATTCTAACAGGTGCCATCTTCTTATGACATTAGCGTTCATATGACATTACGCAGTTGCGAGCCAAGTAAAAAAAAAAAACTTACCAAAAAATAGTTGATTCGCACACTGGGAATATGAAAAATCACTCTTCATTTTCAAATACATGTAAAATCAATAAAACCAAAAAAAATA